AATCGGGTTCTTGTCAACCAGGAGTGGATAAATTTATTTCCAAATGCTTCGGTTTTTCACCTCAAGCCAAACTCCTCAGATCATATCCCGTTGTTACTTGATTGGGAGGCAAAGTGCATATTAAAGTACAAAAAATCTTTCTGTTATGAGGAAGCTTAGACGGCAAGGGAAGTATGTACAAAGGCTGTACAATTGGGGTGAGCTGCTGAATTTGAAGGCTCGCCGATGTTTCTAGTTACGGAAAAAATAAAGGCCACTCGAGTTCAATTGATCAATTGGGTGAACCGTGGACATCGAAGACTCCCTAGCAATATTGTAGCAAGTGAGGATAAGTTGAATAGTCTCTTTGGCCAGCCTTTCAACGATACCACCATTGCCCGACGGAAAGAATTATAGAAGCAACTCCACTATTTACTTGCTCAAGAGGAAGCCTTTTGGAGGTAACGATTCCGAGAGAATTGATTACATTTAGGTGATCAAAACAATAAATATTTTCACCAAAAGGCGAATTGAAGGCAACAAAGAAATGGTTACATGGCCTATTCGACGAAAATGGAGATTGGCATGACGACAAACCCGTATGGAGAATATTATTATGAATTATTTTACATTGCACTATTACTGTAGTACTTTCTTGGGTCAAGACCAATTTTACGTGTATGTTCACATTGCACCATTACGCTCACTTTTGATTCATTGTTGGTGTAAGCCAGTACTAGTTGCTCTTGCATCTAGGACTCATATGTGATGTGCTTATCGTCGGCTTCATGTTATGAAGACTAGCTCAAGCATAAATTATTACACACAACCTCTTCATGTACCTACTTTTTGCATAGATTTGTGTCTTTGCATTTTAATAAACATATTGTGGTACATTGTTGAGATACTTGTGATTTATCTGTACCCTTAGTATAATTGCTTTTACACTATACACTTTGGTTTTCATACTTACAAAGTATGATTTTGGAAACTATATGCATTTATAACAGGAGGTTACTATTTTGAGAAAAGAAAATGTTTTAGTGCATCCTTATTTTTGCCTGCTCACACTCTATGTTTTACATCCCTCCAGGACTTAGTAAGTGAATTATATGGCTAGCTATTGATCACTAGTGGTTCTGACATCCGCTTCAATTAATATAGGAAATTTATTTCCTGTTAAGTGTAAAATATTCTTCATACCCAGAATGAGAACATTCTTTTTTCTGTTACACTTTTATCTATTCTATGACATTGTATGCATTTTAATAAGAGTTGATCACACTACGTACTCTCACACTAATTTAATTTAGTTTTAGATTTTGATTATAATTTACTCGTACTTTTTACACATCATATGCATGTTATGATTTCGTCACTTTCCAGATGTCAGTCATCATGCCTCAATCTTGGTGTCCTTTTTAATAGCCGGATTGAGGTGTTTCACCTTTTGAATAGGTAGCGGGTAAGACCTCCAATGCTGTGAGTGGAATTAGTCCTAGGCGCACTAGATAAGACTTAAGAGTAACTAAGAGCCAATGAACATTATCTTTATCTTTCTAGAAGTGATTTGCTTTAACCTTGTTACCAAACTCAAGTTAAAGTGGGACAAAATATCGCTTTAAGATAAAAGTATTAATGTGTTTCAAAGTCTTTTTATTGTCTAATTCTCAACCCTGTTCTAACAGTGACAATCGACGCATATGCTGGACTTTGGAGGTATCTTTATCTCGATATACTCCAAGGGTTTTGTTTTTTGTGTTGTTGAAGCACCCAATCTTGTTTGAATATTTCTGCAAGGTCACGAAGTCGCATTCTTAAATGTATTTCTTTCAGTCTTTTTTTTAATGGATGAAATACTCCGATCGTAGCGAGTATTCAAATGTCGATCTAACTTCATTTTTCAGTAATATATAAACACCAAAATGTGCCCTAGCATACTATTTGTAATGAATGAGTTCCACATTGATAAGAGAAGAGATCTTGCATGGGCTTATAAGAGGTTGGGCTAATTCCTATATTGTTAATTTGTTTTATGGTGGAACCTCAACTTTCTTCATGGTATCAAAGAAGGTTGTCTCACGTGTGAAGCCAAACGCGCACCACATCATCCCGTTGTGTTGTCCATGTGTTAGGCTTGAAATTTCGCCACACATGAGGGGGCGTGTTGAGAATGAGTCCCACATTAATGGGAGAAGGGACCTTGCATGAGTTTATAAGAGGTTTGACTACTTTTCATATAATGAGTCCTACATTGATTGGAAAATGGACATTGCATTTCTTTATAAAAGGTTGGACTACTCTCCATATTGCCAATTTGTTTTATGGTGGAACCTCAACTTTCTTCACTATTTGATGAGTAAATCTAACCAATGAAATTGGTGACCTTAGGTCCCTTATTGTATTTTAAGTTTGATCATCAACCTGAGGAAAACTTGTGGCATAACTTTGGACAATGATTGTCTGCCTTCCCACTTCCGATGCCCACTCGTGCCCTCCAATTTTGTGTGGTCACGGTTAAGCCATGTCAACATTTTATATTATTTTTTTATAGAGATAATAAGACAAAAATGAATAGTAATATAAAATGTTGACAAGGCTTAACCGTGACCACACAAACAGAAAGGCATGGAAAGGCATTGAAAGTGGAAGGGCAGATAATCCTTGTCTCATAACTTTTGGCCGGAAAGTAGATATTAGTCAATAGCTTTAGTCATTGATTGATATGGCACATGTTTCATACTTTGTGGATTAATTAATGTTAAGTTGCTTTTCCGAATTGTAAATATGATAATACTTAGGTACTCATTTGTAAATTGCAATGCAATTATTCACGGATTATAAGATATGCTAAACACAATCTGCTTGCGTTTTCAATTGTTGCATTCATTAATCATATTGCCTAATGAATAAAACAACTAAAATGCAAATAAGGAATCATAAAGGAAAAACATCACATTGACCGTCCAAGTTTTTGTTTTATTGTACTACAACTAGCTAGTTTTTGGTCTGCGTTTAGGCATGTCCACTGTTGAGATGGTCAGGAGGAATTGTTCTAACTTTAAGAACCGGACTGTTCTCAAAGAATTGGTAGGCCGGAGCTCAAATCCACTACTCAATAGCGTACCACATGACTATGTCTTTGTTTTCATTCTCTCTATTCATGCACACTGACAACGATTAAAAAAATTCATTACAAATTTCTATATCCGCTTGTCGACGTAATAATGTTAGAATGATCACGTTTGTTTAAGCACATAAGTTGACAAAATCATGGATCAAATACAAATATACAATTAATCGCTACCTTACACATAATATTGGTCACCCAAATTAATATGATTAACTATGGTGTTCCCTAAAAACAAAAATATCTTGATCCCTTCCACAATGTATATGGTCTTTTTTAAATGATTTGAAATATTCAAAAGCATTTTTGACAACTTTTGGAAGAAAACGTAGAATTGTTAAGGGTTATCATCTGCAAGGTTTTTATTATTTCACGAAGCTCTTTTAAGTTCTTGAGGAAGCATTTCTAAGTATTTTTCCAGAAAGTACAAGATTTACCTTCTAAATATTTGACATGAAACGTTTTCAATGTAAGTGTTCATGACAAAATTACGTATCTTTCTAAAAATATTTTCAAGCAAGCCCAAAATACTATACCTGAGGGCCCAAACTGCTTGTACTTGGTAAAAGCACCACGAATTTGTGGGTATTCATCCTCTAACAAAAGGGATCCTGTAATTGACCGTGGAATCAAACGATAACCAGTTGGATTCCTATGTTTGGTCCCTTTATTAGGATTTAAATTTTGAAATAATAGAAGTTTAATCTTGTGTTTTTTTTTTTTGGCTCATCAATCAACTTGAGGACACAAGATGCCCAAAGCGTTTAAAAAAACACTATTTACACATACTTAGTTACAGTAATTAACATCTTTATAGGGTAGCAAGTGGTGAATTATTAGTGGATTAGATTTCATTTTCAACTTATTACATTCCAAGTTCAAATCTTTTTCTCCATTTAATTAGATTAAACGTAGCAATATGATTGCCAATGAAAGTTAGTTGAGTTACTAAAGATCGTTCTCTTCACTAGGAAAAGGTCTAGGTTCGAGTCTTGTGTTGACGATCCATTTTGGTGGGCAATTTGTAGAACTCCTCTATAAATCCTCAAAGAAATTTGCAGTATGCTCTTGCACTGGGTTGAGGTAGCATTCCTTCCCCTTAAATTTTTGGAAAATTTTTATTTAAATCCAAATAACCTCTTTTTACACCCAACTTACTTTAAATGTGAAATGTCTTTATTACCCTATTATATAATTACCATCAAGTACAGGATAAAATTACAAGAAAAATAACCGTTAAGTAATTTTTCTCCCACATTCTGTTATGGCAAAAACCCTAAGACACTTTCATATAGAAAACAAGCTCTTTTTTACACATAGATGGTAATTTTGAAGTTTTGAATCTTCCAATTAAAGTATAAATCTATTTATGCAAGAGTTGAATTATTGATTCATATGACATATACCAACGTTATAACTGTTAGCTGTATAAGTTTACCAAGTCTTGTCTTGTTCTTTTTGGACACCATTAGCAAGTCTTCTACTTCTTAATTACATAACACGATCGTAACATCGTGCTTTATTTTTATTGGATTACATATCCAACTGCTACTACCTAATGAGAGTTGAAGATTCTAATAGTTAGATAATAGACAATATTGATTAATTATGTTTTTTATGTGTGCATTCGTATGATATCATACTGATAATATTGGTCTTTGCTCTGCAATCTAAATTCGGAGAACATTTTCCGAATGAGGGTCAGCCTGGTTATGGACTTCCTTGGTTACATGTATCTTCTTTGAAATAAACGGATCTTCTTTGATATAAAATCTTGTAGTCAGGATGTTCATTTACAAGAAGAGCCCATGTTGTAGATGTTACAAATACAATTTTCAGAATCTAAAAACAGCTCTCTCGTTACTTCAACCGAGTGTGCTTAATTTTTTAAGCCTAGTTCCTCCATCAAACACCGTCTTCATGTTACAGCCGCCTCCAACTTCATACGAACAACCATTAATCTACAGGCGGATAGAAAATAAAACTTCGAAACCGGAGTAAGTGGGTGACTGTCCGTGACTGTTAAAACGTATCAAATTTTCAAAACAAGTAGCAAACGATGTACATGGCCTTACCATGATTTGAAACTAAGTGCCTCGTCGATACTCCAATTGCTTTGTATTCTCTAGTAATACCTGTCATTCAAACAGAGGCCACATGACAAGGCAGAACTTATCACTGGACGGGCGGAAAATAAAGCAAGAAGGTGCTTACTTCTCGAATATATGTTGCAACTGCCTTGCAGCCTTCAATTGCAAGTTGCACTACATTTTCAAAAATATCCAATGGTAATTTAGCATCCATCTGCATCAAAGATCATCACGAATAAGTGGTTTACAAAAGGTGCTAGAGAAGACACTGTAGATGCCAACTAACAATATAATTGTAACTTAAGCTTGTGAGAATATATTGCGAAACATATACGACAGATTACCTGAAGAAGAGTAATTTTGTCCAACTTCGGCATAATACCTAAAGTGACATCAGCACCTCCAGCACTATCTTCTACATAGTTTAAATCTGACAAGCCAGCGACAATAAGCTCACGTGAGAATTACAATATCATACTAGTACAATGGCATTATAGAAGCTGCACAAGCATAAAGTAACGTAAAAATTTACCAAGTAGATGTGTGCTATTAAGGTAACCGGCACTACAAGAAGTAACAAGATCACGCATTGGAATTCCAGCATCTGAAAGGGCCACGGTTGCAGCATTGATACATGCTGATCTAGTTCCTGACAAAAATAAAATAAAAATCAAACACACAGATAGATCTTTCAATTCTTTATGTAAAACAGTGAAGTAACCTGTTGAAATCTGGTAGTATTTGCAAAATAGTTAAACATTATAACCGAAACACAGATAACAGGGACAACCATGGTACTTTGTGAACACTATCGATCATATATTCTATTTAAATAACATGCAACAAAAGCAATAACTATTAACGAACTGCCTGCAGCGCAGTTTGACCCTCAAACACGACTTACCTCAATAGTAGTTAAAAAACACAAACTAACAACTTTAAATTCAAATACAAGTGGTTCATAGTACCCGTACATGAAATGAATAGAGGAGGCTTTGGATTTTCAGAAAATAAGCCTGGATCTACAAATATATTGAATGAAACAGGACCAAATATGCACATTGCACACACACATAGAAGGAAACAGGGCAGCATTGATTTATTACATAATCTGAAAGTACATTATCATATAGGACCTATGACTGCAACGAGGCACTAGGATTTACCTCCATCTGCTTGGAGAACTTGCGCAAAAATATCAATCTGCAACAAACGGATACAAGGCTCAATAAAGAACAAACTAGACATTCATGGAAGAAAAGTTCCCAAGATGCATCAGTGGAACCTGAGTCCGAGGCATTAAATGTGTCATAATGCATGCTTCCATGGTTTGCCGAATAACAAGAGAAATCTCTGTGGATCGTCTGAGAGCATAAAAATGTACATTTTAGTTATATAGTTTAATTTAGTTATGGATACAACACTCTGATGTTAAATTGTAAATTGAAGATGATCCAACATGTATGTATGAAAATGAAAGAGAATAGAATACACCCTTTGGTTTCCTCATGCGATCTCCAGTACTAAAATTTGCCATGGTGTACTCACACCGCACCTAAACTTATTAACAATGGCCAACGACATTACATTTACGAATATAATACATGCCTGTTCCGTTTATCGTATTCACCACAACACAGATAAATTTAATACACAGAGAATTAGATGAACTATTACCAGTGCCTTGTCATTCATCTGCTGGCTCCTATTTTGGACCAAGAAAACAAAAGTATATTAACAGCTAAAATGAATTTAAATTGAAAATTGGACAAGACATTTTAAATAATAATGAGTACCACGCACAAGTTCATTAAAATTTTAGCTCGAAATTATAGAATGAAGAAAAAAGAATTAGCTAACCTCTCGAGGGCCATACCCTGCAGCAATGACTTTGGTGTTTCCCATCTCAAACACAGCAGAACTGAAATTTGATATGAAAGATCAGCTTTAAAAAAAAATTACAAGGATTAGAAAAGAAGAATCAAGGTTTTAGTAATTAGAACCCATCGGCTTTTTCCACAACACCAATCTCTCCTCGAATTTGTCTCATCTGGGATCACAGAAAAAAATATATATTTTATAAAAATAATTGAAACTTTATACTGGTGATGATTCAACACAACGGAAAATTGAGAGATGGAAAAATACTTCCATGGGCCGCCGACCATCCAAGCGAAGACCTTCTGGGCTCACGTACTCCATCTGTTAGAACTTCATAATAACCAACTTAGGAAATGCCATAGATAACAAGAAACAAATGGTAGCTAAAGCAATCACTGTCTAAAATTTAAACGTCATAACAACCAAACTGCAAAGTTCCTTAAATTGTTGCATAATAGCTTTGCTTCAGCAACAAAATGGCTATTCTATATCATTGTTCATGCCTACACTTCACTAACCAAACGGAAGTAAATTTAAAAAATATAAAAAAAGGAAAACACTTCACTAACCAAAAGGAAGTAATTCAAATAAAGAACGTTAATTCATGGAGAAGAAGCTAAGTTTGTTTTCACCATCCAATCAACACCATCAACAACTATTACACTTGTACGAAAGGATCATCTTTTATCTTTGTTTTAATCACGAAAACCCATTACAGCATAAACCTTCCTCCATGAAGATTACAATGAACAGGTACGGTGGAATAACCAAATCATTGGAACCCACTTCCTAATGACTCTCAAATGCAGAATATATCCCACAATAATGTTAATCTGTTACGGGAATTTCCATTCGAGGCTTATCTCCATTGTCTCAAGTCTGTGACACATACTTGCCTACCAACCTTCAATGCAAAGATTAAAAATTTAAAAATCCAGATAAAGTTTATCTTCATACATAAAGTTTATTGTTCTTTCATAATATATATTATAAACTCATGTATACATTCAATTAATTTTGAGCACTGATATTCCCACCCCTATGTCTTATTTCCCTCCCCACCATTTAATGAAATGTTACCAAGGAAAACTGATAAAAATAACTTGAAAACTTTGAGTTTTAATCAAAATGGCAAAAATGGGTTGTAAGTGAATAGTACTAGAAGTGACTTTTTAGAGTAAAAATGTTCTTAACATTAAAAGTAAACAGTACCGAAAGTATTTCGTTAAGACTCCCATGTTAATATTCTTAAACTCTTATTTAATTAAGTACTAAAATTTTGAAAAATAAAAAACAATAATTTAAAATAATAAATAAATAATGGTGGGTTGGATGTGGTACCTTTGGTGGAGAGAGGCCAGGAAAGATTTGGGCTAGAATTGACGAAAAGGTTGGAGGAAGGAATGGGTGTGTGCTAGACAAGGGCGAGAAACTTGAATGGAGGCAAAAGAGACTTGAGGGTGAGATCTGGGGCTTTGACAGAAAAGCAGGAAGAAGAGTGATTTGGGTAAACGGGTCTCTGTGGGGCGGCGATAGGTGTAAGTACTAGGGTTTGTCGGGAATATTCTGCCATAGATATGGAACTCGGTGAAAATAGAGGGTGGGGATCTTGAGAGAGATCAAGGTGGCAGATTTGGGATTAGTAGGAAAAGATATTATGAAATGGATGCCATGATTTGAAGGACACGCGTGGTTTGAAGAATATGATGAATGTAAAGGTCTTAGGTCTTGCATTTTCTTTCATCTTTTTTTTTATATATATTTATTTATAAATATTATTCAAAGATGTATTAGAGTTATTTAAAAAATATATATTACGGTTATTTTGGAAATAACGGGTGTGGGAAAATAATATTTTACTTTTTTTATTTTTTTATAGTGAGTGAGATTATCATGTGGATGAAAAAGTAAGACACTGAAGTGGTGGGTCTAATAACACTCTTAATTTTGTGGTATATTAAAAATAAGAGAAATTTTATTTGGACAAGTTTTCCTCTCTCTAAACCCAACTTTAATATTTTGTTACCTAAACTCTTTAGTTTACCCTCATAAATTATAAACGTAAATAAACTGGAAAAAGAAGAGCTCATCATACCCATTTCCCGACTGTTCTCTCGCCCTCCGCTGGCTCCTCCTGTATTTGTTGGGTCTGTCTTCCTACCGAATATTTGTTTCCTGATATTATCAGTGTGTTCCCCCCACCTCTCCCACACCCACCAATTCTTTGCGGTGGATACTCCACCAAACGTCCAGTGAATCTTTCCTTCTTCTCTTGCGCGTGATAGGGCCTTGCTGTTAAGAGGCAAAACTAAGTTGCATCGTCGACTCCATAAGCGACTTGTTGCAGAAGTCCAAAATGGAGTCAAATGGATTTTGTGTTGGGTCGGGTTGTTGAAGGCGATGGTTGATTTAGCAATCCCGCCTAAATTCTATATGCAGGAGAAAGAAAAGGGAGGTCTGAAGTGGTGGTTGAGTGGTGGTGCTGCATGTGGGTGCTATCTCGGTTGAATGGGTGTAGAAAGATATTTAATTTTCATTTTCTTATTTTATTTAGTATAAGGGGTAATATAGAAATTACAGAGAGTTTGTATTTTTTTAGCTAGGTGTAGAAAGAGTATTGTTGGGTCTAAAAAAAATTACGCTAAAAATAATAAACAAATGTATCTAAACTTAACAATAAAATACTGCAAAATACATAAATTTGAGCAAGTAACTATAAAAAAAAAATCATCTTGCTCTTCTTGGTTCTCCTAAAATATTTGGTAGCGTAGGTTCCTTCATCTTGCTCGTCTTGGTTTTCCTAAAAGGATAATTCTTAAGTTTATATACTCACTGCGACGTTTGACTTGCTCTTCTCTTCCATTCCCATTTGGAAGAGTTATAGGGTATATATTCCCATCTAGCTTTATGGTTCCCAAATTTCTCTCCTATCCTCATCTAGCTACGAATCTGATGAGTAGTAGAAACATACTTCTAAATCAATTCCCAGACTTTACAACTCCCTAAAGAAAAAGTTCTTCAAAAACCCCAACCTCATTTTAAGCAATAACAAACGAATCAATATTAGATTTTTGAAATTACTAAACAATACCTGGTTTAACTCTGAATTGTTAGAAAAATGTAGTCATGCATATCGAACCGTTCCTGAGATCTTCTTTGATTAAAAAAAAAAATCATAAATATTTCACAAAGTGCATCTTTCTTGTTTTATATTTCTCCTCAATGAAATGATCAAATGCAATAGTTGAAATCATTACACTATATTTTTTATATTTGAGTTCAAATGTGGTGGTACATGGGTTTGAGTTTCTTATTTTCTCCTCATGCACTTGATTATAAATTTTAAATTTTACATGTGACTCAAATGTTAAATTTTTTCTGTTGGAATGAAGTTTTTCTCTTTGCATGACATTCACCTTTACACTCAAATAATTTTTGGAAATTTTAAATATAACTCTAATTACTTAAAAAAACAGATATATAACATTTAGTTTAACTCAAAAGTTATATATGAGTTTTAACTTTCCGATGCAAATTTGATCCAATCGTCAACATTTAAGTTCAAACTTGACTAGAAATGAAAAAGGTACACATAATATAACAAAGCAAAGTCATGACTTGAATCATTATGGGAAATGAAGATGAGACATCATTTTATGTGCAGCAAGGCAAGCAAATAAGAAATCTTTAAAATCATGTCATATGATTTGTTGGGTGACAAAGCTTAGGCCAGTGCAATTATTTTTACAGGTCTTGAAGAGGGAGAAGGAAGCAAGTAAAAGATTAGGGGAACACAATATTATCCCGGGGACCTCAGAGTTGGAGCTTGAGGCCTTTGAGGTCATCATAACCTTTCTAAAACAAGAGTTTGGCCGAATCCATCATCACCCCCAAACCAAAACACACTGCAAGTAACAAGAATGATTTCCTTAGTATTCATAGCTGGCCTGCATCAAATAGAACGCCACCACTTCTCAATATAGAGCCTCTCTCCTATGCTCTCCTCCACCATAGTAATTATGTGGGCACATAAGTTTTTATCTTGTTCTTCTTTTTCTTTTGTTACTTTTTATTTGGTCTTTCACACATCTTCTTTTGTTACTTTTTATTTGGTCTTTCACACATCATTCTATTGCCAACCTTACGACACTGGTGGACTCTCTTGGACCCCCTTAACTAAGAGTTCAAATCTTTTGTACTTAAAACTCTTTGTGACCTTTCAGTGACCTATTTAACTATTAAAATAAGGTTTAAATGAATGGTCAAGAGTCAACAATGAAATAGGTTACAGAAAGATCACAAAAAATTTTGAATACAAAAGATTTGATCTCGTTAATGATACCCACAAATTGTTGCATAAGATTGAATAGTTTGTTGACATGCTATAGCAAAACAAAGCATATGACATTTGGATCAGAGTGATTTTGTGTGTAGATGTGACGTACCATTTTCACTAAGCTTGGAAATCTCAAATAAACTACTTGCAACAAGAAGAGGGATTATCAAAATAATTACTTCCTCATTCTACAACAAGACTGTAGTTTTGGCAAACTATTACCACAATTTTTTTTTCTTTTGTAAACATGTCGTAGCTCATATTGCCATGGTCTTACAAACAACTCGTAAAATAATATAACCTAACAAATAATTTCCAGATAACTTACCGACATCTTCTAATATTCAAATATCATGTCAAAAAGTAAAGGGTAATGCTAGGTAAGCCAAAATTTTAAACTCACAAATCAAATGATGTGTCACCAGTAGAAAATGAGTAATGCTAGGAAGACTAAATTTATAGACTAAGTTTTGTAAACTAAATGACATGGAAGTTGATGATTAGATTATTACTTAAACATTGATAAATGTGCTCATTTCTTATTAGTGACACATCATTTAGTTTGCAATTTTAGTCTATAAGTTTAGTCTCCATAGCATTACTCATAGGAAATAAGTACGTTAAGCAACACTTAAGTAATAATCCAATCATCAACAACCACATCATTAAGTAATAATCTGTCATATATGATTCCTCCTCAACCGTTAGAGATTAATTTGGATTTGGCTTATGACAAAGTCCTAGTGAAGATTCTTGATTGGAAGGATAAAGTTCTCAGGAACAAGACCGTTCATATGGTGAAAGTCTTGTGGAGGAACCACTCAGTTGAGGAAGCTACTTGGGAGATAGAAGAGTGAATGCAAGATTTGTAACCACATTTGTTCTTAGATTGATTTTCAGTAGTGTTGAAATTTCAGGGACAAAATTTTCATAAGGGGGTAGGTTGTGATGATCTGTTCCTAATTTTTTATGTAATTTCTCCCTAAGTGTGTAAATGACATTTATGCTGTTGTTGGCAAAGTGACATGGATGTGATTATGCTGCTTTAAATTATTTTTCCTGCTATCATAATTAAATAATAATCGTTGTTACGAACGCGTGAGCGTGAGTTGGACCCGAATCAGATTTGTAAAGATAAAGTTGAGCGCAGGTAAAGTACATTAACAACGGGTAGAGTTGTACACGTGTGTGCGCTAATCTATTAGTGTTGGGAACATTGTTCTTGATAGGGAGACGAATTTTCTTGCATACATTTACTATGTAAAATCTAAAAATCTTATCCCCTTCTCCTTTTAAAAATATGACTCGTGCCCCCAAATCCCTCACCACCAATTATTTTGCTTCCCACTTTCTTTCACCCAATTAATCATCATCTCTCTCTGCTCAGCCAATCAGAAAACACATCACACTCTCTCTCATCTCTCTCTCTAACCCGTACTCCCTCCTTCTCTGTAACAAAGAAGAAGAACACCAAGTCTTCATAAATCGAACCTAAAAACACTACCATCGTGTTCCTTTCGTCACCACAATCACAACTGTACCAACCGATCACAAGTTCGTTGAGTTTTAAGTGGTCAACGCAGAGCAACTCGAAACCTTCGACTCGGACGAGTTTGCATCGATATGATCCTGGCCGAGTTTCAATGTTTTGAAGGTTGTGGAAGCATCTAGCCAACTCCTTGGAGTTCCTAGACAAACTTTGGAGTGAAGTTGACATGAGAAAACATGTTTTCGAGGAGTCGAGCTTAGGGCCAAAAGCTTTTGAGGCATTTTCAGTCCTCTTCCGTCTACCTTTTGGACTTTTAAGAGGTAAAATAATGTTCTCCTTGTCACAAGCTTCAAATCTATATAATTTTCATGAAAAATGGTTGAGAAATGAAGAAGTTATAAAGGTTTGAAATTTTTCTACAAAACCGGCGAAAAATCCCTAGTTTCTGACGAAACCAAATTGCGGCCAGCGGCGGCGGATGATGACAACCCACCAGAGAAGACGACGAATATTTCATCAGACTTGACGGAATATTCTAACGGCGTCAGGTAACGCCGTTACTATTTAACGAAATATTCCTAACATCTATTAGGGTTCTGTCAGGCGCGTGCCTGCACGTGGCCGTGGGTTAGGCGGTGCGTGAGGGCTTGTCTGGCCTCCGGCCGGCGAGTGGTTGACACGTGTAGGTCAGTGACTTCGAGTAAAACATTTTCGTATATTTAAATCTTCCGTTTGAGCAAACCATAGGGAGTTATTCCTAGCTTTTAGTGTATGTCTTTATTAACTAATTAGTATTAGTTGTTTCACATATAGGAAAGACTTACCCTGAGGACGTACGAGGACAAGCAAGACTAGGGGACTACGATCCATCGACATGTCAGTGAGTGGGCATTTTTGTTTTTGTGTGTGTGTGTGTGTGTGTGTGTGTGTGTGTGTGTGTGTGTGTGTGTGTGTGTGTGTGTGTGTGTGTGTGTGTGTGTGTGTGTGTGTGTGTGTGTGTGTGTGTGTGTGTGTGTGTGTGTGTGTACAGATTGCTTAAGGGGAGGGATCCCCATTTTTTCAAAAAAATGGGGACACGCTCCCCACCGTTAGATGGCTTTTATTGAAATTGTGTGATTAAGATTAAAACACAAGCCACACAATCTCAACCACACAATTTCAGCGTGTTCCCATTTTTTTAGAAAAATGAGGATCCCTCCCCTTAAGCAATATGTGTACACACACACACACACACACACACACACACACACACACACACTTTTTATAGTTTCCACAAATGCTTTTAAATTGATTTATGCATTTTATGCCATGTTTTATTAATTTTAAAATGCTATTATGTGGTTGTGATTTATATATGGTCATGGCATAATCATATGCATTTTACCTACTCATAAATGTTGTACTGTTGTGAAATGCTAAAATAATTACGGGATGCACAGGTAGGTCCAGGTAAGGTTATTATGTTTTTTGAGGTTGTTGAATCATTATGCCATGCTTACATTCATATAGTCTACTCATCATTGCTACACCCAAGTGTTAGTGCTCAGCCCAGGGCCAGGCTAGTCTTTCACATGTTGTTCACATTAGCACTGCACGCTCGCCTTGGATCCAAGTAGGTGCTAGTCCTGTTGTACAAATTGCAATAGGCAATTTCGACTCATATGTGACAACGAATAGCGCTAGTCTTCACATGATTGTAACACTAGAGCGTATATTATTACACCTAGTCCTGTTGTACATGTCGCGTTAGGCGACTCTGACTCGTGTACTAGCATAGATTAATGAGCAATAGGTGCAGTCGTATAGGTCACATTAGGCAACTCTAACTTGCTTGCTAGTATAGATTGTTGAGCACATGATATATTTATATTGCTATTGAGATTGTGATGTGGCATGCTTCTAGATTTACTATTGCTTTGCATTTGATTTCATACCTATACGTAGTATCATTTTCTAGAAACTATACATGTTTTACAACGAGGGGTTAGTATGTTCAGAAAATAAATGAATTTTATAAATCTTTATTTTTGTGCCCACTCACCCTTCTGTTTTTCGCCCCTCTAGGTCCTAGATAGCTGACCTATGTGGCGTGCGAGGATTAGCGACGACTCTGACATATTCCTATTTAAACGTAGGAACTTATCGCATTGTGTATTAAGTACTTTTCTAGTTTCAACTGCACTATTTATCATCTATGCTCTGAACATTTGTATTTTATGGGTTCTACCCACTACTGCGCACTCACTTTAGTAGTTGAAATAAGTTCTAGTTTCGATTTTAATCTATTTAAATTTTTACATTATTCACATTTTGGTTCGGGTGACGGCGAACATGCCTTGACTCCGGTCAGGGTGTGTAAAAAATAATTTCCTTTTACAATTTAAAATATAAAAAAGAAAATACATTGACTCTACGAGACGAAATATATAGCTTTTGTTGTGCAAAATTTTTATTCTATTTATTTCTTTATATACTTTGCGCAACGAGTATTAAAATTTCGTTGCTCAAATACCTTTTGCGCCACAAATCGTATTTTATCGAGCAAGGGTTTATTTTTACTACTGAGTGTATTATGGGTTTTAGACTTTTATTATGATATTGAATTTTACTCTTACTTTTTTTATGGCATCTCAATTATAGAAGTTTGAAATTCCATAATTAGAATATGATTCACACTCGAGAACAATCCTTGAATCTAGGGTACCAAATTAGATGCAAATTATATAGGGTCTGATCAACCATTTCTCTATAAGCTGCAAGCTAGTGATACGCAAGTTTTGAAGCCCATCTCTTTTTACCATTCTCAATAGTTGTATGCTTTGAATCTGTTGTCCTTGTATTGTTTGACATCCTAGAAGCTATCCAAACAAAAGATCATGAATCCACTTGAGGATATATTAAAATAATATTTCCCTTAGTTATACAAAATAAAAAAAGGGGTAAATTACAGTAAATTTAACATCTTTGTTGGGTACTGACACATTACAAAAGTCTTAGTAGGGGAAAAAGAAAACGAAAACTACTGAAATTAGGGTTGTTTTGTGGAGTTAACATGCTTAGAACTTGGAGGTTTCGTTTTAAGCACAGGATTGCTCTCAAAGAAATTTGTAGGCCGAAGCTCAAATCCACCGCTTAATGTTGGCATAATTGGAAAATCTTCTTGGCAAGGAACATGATGAAACCCCACGGTGTACCATAACACTATGTCCTTATTTTCAATCTCTCGGTTTCTGCACATTTTCACATAATTTAGAACAAAAGAAATTTACACAAACATATGTCTAAAATTGTTACTCACACATACACCTCATTTGGTTTACGAATTTGATTTAAATTTTTTATATGCTTAACAGTATCTATAATTAAATAATATTAATTGTTTAAATATACCTGAGGCTCCAAGTAGCCAGTGTTTCTTCTCCATGGCTCCGATCAGCATATAGTCCTCCAGCCCATTTTTCAGACTTGTTATAAGGTGTGACCCATACATTGTAATTGGTAAATGCACCTCGGATTTGTGGGTAATCATCGTCGTTTAAAAGTGCTTTTGATATTGACCCTGGAATTAGACGCTAACCGATGCTGTTTCCAGGTTTGGTCTTCTTGTTAGGGTTTACCACAACCAGCTCCGATGCCTTCAAACCCAACTGAATTTTTGCATCCGATTCGGTTTTAGCTGTCTCACTTTCAACTGTCCAATAGCTCTTTCTAGGTGAGTTCTTGTCTGTCACTCTTTTGGTCACCAAATTGTTTTTGACAAAGGAGTTGGCTTCACCATCCACATCAAGATCAAGGTAATAGGTCAAGAAATGGTCGTGGTACACCCCAATTGTATAATCTGCTAGCAATGTACCATAAGCATCCTCCTTTATTTGACTAGTGTGAGTGTAATCCGCAGCCTTCACTTCTAGTATTCCTGTTAAGCCTACCTGTTTGAAAAAGAAAATGGTTTAGCTGCAACGCAGAAACACCTAATGACAATTTATTCACTCCTCCATGTCTACTTTTTCTCTGAATTATTACAAAAAATGAATGTAAAATCTTATGCCGATCGATGGCAAACAAATTAAAATACTATCCATCTTTATCAATTATCATACCCCAATTTTGATGGAGCCGCTTGGCTTAAATTCCCAGTCGAGTATGTAATCGTAGTTGCCAACAGTTGCGACCATCCTCACTATCAAGCTCAGTTCTGGCCTAACCTCCGTTATCTGTAAAACCAAGATCTGTCATGTTAGAATACAACACAGTGGCAAACAACGTCGGTTGAAAATTCAGGCATAAAATGTGTAATATAATTTGAATCAGAATTAAGAACTTGTAACAAATATTATATTTTAACTAGATAGTGTGTGTCACCCAACCTGCAACGTGGTAGGAAAAGTTTTGACTCAAATTTTTTCTCCACATGTTAAGAAAATGCTAGAATGGACCACACATTCAAACCATGCATGTTGCATCGGCTAATGGCATGACGTAACGCGACAATTGATATGTTTAATTAACAATCAACCATAATAAATGAACAACTATAAGAAATACAAAAAAGGACTTGTTCAACTTGTAGTTAAAAATCAATTTGATGCCCTACCAGTTCTCCATGAATTGCATATTCAGTGTGACGCCACATGACACTTCCAAACTGTTGCTCAAATATGCAAAAAGCATTAGATATTTTAACAGGAGTACCATCCTCCCCAGCATAGTATGCATCCAAGAACTCAGCATTGGCAGGGCAATCAGTCAAGGGCTCAAGTGGCATAGCCAGTTGACCAAAACCATATTCACCGGCATCAAAGAAGGTCTTGTAGTACCATTCTTCAGTTGGGTCCATGTACGGCACAAAAAGCTCGGATACGAACGCTCTGTATAATACTTGACGATATGTAGCGTTTTCTAGATCGTAGATTGATGCCAACGAAATTATTGGACCAGCTCGAACATTAAATCCCAAATGGAAATCCCAATTAGCCCAGCTGTATGAATATTGGACTTATAAATCAGAAAATTAATGAGTGATTGTAGACAAACAACATAATGAATAGAAGGTAAGTTAAAGCTAAGCCTTAAACCAACATGAATTTTGGCTCCACAACTAAAAATTAATAGTATAGTCTCCACCTCCATGTTCTTTGCTTTTTGTTTTACTTTTTATGTTTTAAAATGCAAAAAAATTATTGTTAGTGTTGGCTGTTGCGATTACATTCTGATGAGAAAAATAGAGTATTGGCTTCTGAATTTTGATTCAATTAGAGTTTGGTGTATAAACTAAAAATTTTTGAGTCATGGTCTCTAAGCTTGTCACAATATAGATCAATGATTTGTTTTTTTTTTATAACTCCGTTAAAATTTTCATCTCTTTTTTTTCCCCCTTGTAATCCTTTATTGTAGACAAAATTTTGAACAGTGTTATGCAAAAGAACTAAAACTCCACATTGTGACAAATTTAGAGACAAATACTTATAAATTTTTAAATTATGAACCAAAATTTCAGTTGGGTCAAGTTCAGATCAATACTCCAATTTCTAAATTTTAAGCCTTGCGTAGGAAGGGGGGAAAATCAAGCACTGGTGAAGCTTAACCTAGAGGCACCATAATGGTCCAGATGGATCCATCTTTAGGACATGGATCCTCTCCGGATCTATGCATCCTAATCTTAGGGATCTACTAATTTAGGTCATTTAAATTTGACCCAACGGCTATAAACAGGGGTTCATTTTAAAAGTTATAATAACTTTAGCCGTTGGATCAAATTTCAATGGCCCGGATTGGTGGATCCCTAGGATTAGGATGCATGGATCTGGAGAGGATCCATGTCCCATCCTTTATGCATTAATATAGAGTAATATTAAGAAGACTAAATTTTTTAAATCAACTTGCAAACTAAATGATGTGTCACAAATAAGAACAAGCACGTTAATCGATACTTAATTAATAATCCAACCATCTCCAACCACATCATTTAATTTATAAATTTGGTTTAAAAAATTTAATCTCCCTAATATTACTCATTAATATATAACCATAGTGATCCAGATGGATCCATCGTTTTCCTTATTTTCGAGTCAATAATTCCATATTTTTAAATCAACAATTCAATACCATGCGGCACCATAACAAGACAATGAGCTTCAATCTTTAAGTCCATTAGGACAAGGAGTCACCAGTTGACAAAGATGTACAATACACGTATACACTAGCAAAGGCGGAGGCAGTAACAGTTAAGGGTGGGTTCTAGCGTAGGGAGAATTTTAGTCGTTTAAAGTAAAAAATACTGATAATTTAGACTATTATATTATTTTTAATTGTTATAGTCCATCCAATAAGTAAAAGTTTTGCAAAATATGATTACTTATAGAAAAAGTAAGAATTAAAAAATATTACATAAATTATTTACTTCAATCAATATTTATTATTATTATATTTCAAATACCACACACGATGACACACAGGTCTCAATAAGTCTTTTTATTTTATTAGTCTATAGGGAGTAGTCTATAGTGATTAGTTTAGGTTTCCTAGGAGGAGTAGTCATCCGATTTTAAAAAATAGATTTAATATTTTATTATTTTAGGTTTCATAGGAATAGTTTATTTTTTATTTTTTGACTTTTGGGGTACAACATTGACAATTTTTCACTTTTCAGAAAGCCTTTATCCCGATGAGAAAGTTTATTGATTTTTCTCATCAATAGGTAAGTTTATGACCATTTTATTCTTATGTCTTGATGATTTTATTTGTTTATTGCTTTAATTTTAAGAGTTTTAAGAGTTCGTACAATGGTACTTTAAAACAAGACTTCGCAACAAGATAGAGAATGAATTTTTAGCATATTCAATGGTTGTGTACATTGAAAAAGAGTTTGCCGAAAAGATTGATTCAGAATAAATAACAAAGGATTTCAATTCCATTAACTTGAATAGGTACTTTTTCATTTATTTGTTAAATTGTTATGACAAGATTGATGATGTATGTATCTTTCTACTATAAGTTGCAACTTTAAATGTTTTCTTTGTTAAATCTAGTTGAAACTTGTTTTATTCATAGTTAAATTTCTTACTTTAAATTATTACTTTCAGGCTTGTTATTGTGTTACTTTATGTAAGTAATAAAAAAATTTAACCATTTGATCTCCTCGTAATAATTTTAGTTTAGCCCACCCACCAAATAATTCATGGCTCCACTATTGTACATTAGCCAGGTCATTGCCGACATTTGTCCTGTGATTACATAGTCAAGACTCAAGGTTGCAAATATGAATTTGTAATGTCTAATTACAATTCTACGCCTAATTTGTGGAATATTTATCGTTCAAGTTTGTTGTCATATGAAAATTCTGGGGGACAAACCAACTAGTCAACTAAAGTCAAGAATAATGATTTTAAAATAATTGAAAGTGTTTTTGATGAAAATATTTTTTGTATCAATTAACAAAAATGCAAGTGAATATTGCAAAAACGCTTGAAGTGCATTTTGCCAAGTTTTAAAACCCAAAAATATTTTATCTAAAAACATTTTTAGTTATTTTAAAAATACTTTCAAATAAATTCTTAGAGTCATTGTTTATTTCGAATGACATGTCGCTTCTACATTGTCCAGAGAGATTGTTCTTTTTGTCGGTTTTCTAAAAGCAAACCCAACACTTAATTAATTGAGGCTAACTGGCCTATATATTTAGGACACTTTGAATGTGGTCCTTAATTATCAATGTTCTTTGATTCAAATCTTCCTGGTCTTTAGTTTTTTATCAAAATTCCGAATAGTAATGTAATAATGTATTTCTATATAGGTTATTATATTCTTAACTTAAAAATGAAATTTGTAGTTATTTATATTAATGAGATTTAAAATAAAACCTCATAATTTATGGGATTAAAAATAAATTATACTTTCCAATATATTTTGTGTGTGTATATATATTGTCACATCCCGGCCCGGGCCGGATTAGGGGTAGAAAAAATTCCAGAAAATCCCGAACCGAACCGAAAAAATCCCGATCCCAAACCAAAAATTTCTCAAACCGAAATTCCCGAAATTTTCGGGATGCTATCCCAAACCGATCCCAAAATTTCGGTATGGGATTCGGGATTCGCTTCTCGATATTTCGGGAATCCCATACCGAACCGAAAATATATAATATTAATTATTATTATATATATATATATATTTATACATATATATATATTATTCTTTTATAATTGATGCTAGTAGTTTCTAATTCATGCTCTGCAACCTGGAATGCCCTACACCTTGCATATTTTTCTTGTTCTGTTTGATATTCATGCGGATTTTATTATTGATGCTGCCATGGTGATGATTTCAGAAGGCTTGATTCTTTTGTCTCTCAACAGATTGGAAAAAGGGTTTAATTAATTTGAATTTTGACTATGATAAAAACAGTCAGGCATGCCATTGTTCAATTAAATGGTAGTGTGAATGAAATGAAATTCCTAGTTCATGAATGTGTTCTTGAATTATATATTTGAAGAACAATTCATAATTTCATATTTCAATTTGAGATTCCCGATTTGTCCCAAAATCCCGAAAATATTTCGGGATTCCCGAAAATTTGGTTTGGGATTGGTCTTCAAATTTCCGTCCCGAAAAATTTTGGTTTGGGATTCGGGATATTAGTTTTGGTATGGTATCCCATACCGAACCACCCCTAGGCCGGATCACTTCCCGGGCCCACTCCACCACCGTAGCACGATATTGTCCGCTTTGGGCTTCGACCACACCCTCACGGTTTTGTTTCTGGGAACTCACACGAGAACTTCCCGATAGGTCACCCATCCTGGGAGTGCTCTCGCGCGCTACTCGCTTAACTTCGGAGTTCCCATAGAACCCGAAGCGAGTGAGCTCCCAAAAGGCCTCGTGCTAAGTAGGGATGGGATATACATATAAGGATCACCCCCTGGGCGATGTGGGATGTCACATATATACACATGGGTACATTCATAAAAACTAACTAAAAAATTATTGTACCAAATCATTGGTACATTTTTCAAAAAAAAAAAGAAAAAGAAAGAGATATTAGGCTTAATAACATTATTAAATTTCTTTTATTAAACTTGACATAGAAACATTCTCAAATCAACGAAATAGAATGTACCCATATAAGTTCACAAATGGATTAGAGAAAAGATTAAATGCATTTTATATAAAAATAAAAAAAAATGGGTACATTTTATATTAAAAAGAGGTACATTTTTCATATAACAAATTGGTATATTTAAATATGGGTACAAATCAATTTTTTTTTATAAAAATTTAATGGGTACAAACTTACTCTAATTTTATTTTTTATATTTTAGAAATGTTTGAATTGAAAATTAATTAGTAGTTTAATAAGGGTGTGAATATTAAAACTCTAAATCAATTACTAATTTTTATTATAAAAATTATGTAACTTACATGTAATTCATTAATATATTAATGATAGGAACTTTGATCAAAATCTAAAAACTAATAAGGTCTTAATCAATGAACATTAAATACTAAAGACCGAATACTAATTTTTCATATTCATTTTCCGGTCCACCTTCATTATCATAAGTTGGGGTGTTTTATTTTATTTTTATGAAAATAATTTATGCAAGGTTTTTCTCTTTTATATACCTTTTTTGCGTCTTTATAAGTTGGGGTTTCTTTGCAGCCACAAGTCTGAATTGAACAAGTACTAACAGAATTAAGAGGAACTGTTAAACATAAAAATGGTTTGTTGAAATGAAGATAATCAACCTCTGTGCGAAATTTCTTTTTTCTCTTAAAGTAAATTCACGTAAAGCTAACCTTATTTTGTGCCCGTCGATTTTGAACCCGGGTCCGTTCGGTTGCTCGATAACGAAACCATTCAGCGGCGGACCGAATGGCGGCTTCTGCTTTGACAGCCGATACTCCGTTCCTTCAGCCTTCGGCATCGGAAGCCTAGACCTGTCATAATACTCCACTATTTTCATTTCATCAAGATCAACCAACAAAGATACTCCCTCCAAGGGCCTCATGTACAGATTAGCCGTGCCCTCTTTATAAAAAGACAGAATTTTAATAGCTCTTCTACTATGCTCCTCCCCAAACCACCCAACTGTAAACGTGGCACAAACAACGTCGGACAAGTTAAGTTCCCTCTTCTTAACCGAATCGAGAAATGGTTGATAGGAAAACGGAAGTGCACTTGCCGCTGTTTGTTCGTCGTTGGTGAGCATAGGGTAACCATCATTTTCACCGTAAACTTTATCGAAATTATGTAACGATTGGATAAATCGACCACGAGCTCGTGGGTTTCTTTGTGGAGGCGTGCGATGACAAAGGCTCGTCGAGGAGGGGGATTTGATTTGGTTTTTGATGAAAGCCATGATTGGAGGACTGGTTTGTCTGGCTCGTCTAAACCTATGTATTGAAAGGTTAGGTTGTGTTTGAGGCCAGATGGGTATGATTTTTTCACTATGGTTCGAACCTTTTTGAATTCAGATGGGGTTAAGGGATCTAGTGGGTGGTGGCTTGAGATTATTAGGGAGAAGGTGAAGAACAAAGGGAGTAAGAAGAGCGTTAGTTTCATAGTTGAAGCCGCCATGGCTTTCCTTGTGCATATCAAATAAGCGAACGTATCAAGCCTCCATAAATAGTCCGTTTCTGGTCATATTTTAAAAGGAAATTGCTAGTGGTATCACATTTTTTTAACAATTATATGATGTGACAAATAATATGTACATGTCAATTAATAAGTGAGAAATGATAAACGCACACCCTTTTTAGCATATTAGTACCCACTTATATTTTATCTTGACCATTAATCTATTTGTCTTATTTAAACCAATGACTAGAAAGAAAAAGTGTATGAAAATCATTCTATTAATAAATTTATCTCATTAAATGTTGGTTACATGTGTCAATTGTCATTTTACGGGTACATGAATATGGTCAAACAATGTGGTCTCTCCTGTTTATAGTCCATGGATATAATGTCTTACAAGTAAACAAATAATCATTAAATGTTGGTTACATGTGTGAATTGTCATTTTACGGGTACATGAATAAGGTCAAACAATGTGGTCTCTCTTGTTTATAGTCCATGGATTTAATGTCTTACAAGTAAACAAATAGTTGATTAATTATGAATAAGACATCTTATTTCTCGTTAAATGACTAATTGCAATCGATTGGTTCAACTTCAGTGCAAGGATGTAAACTGAAGATATAATGTTAGAAACTCTAGTGTCATCTTTATTGGAAATTTTTGGAAGATTTCAAGATGTAAAATTGTTTGCTTTAGTCTTGAATTCTCACCACATTAAGTTCTGAATTCCCACTTTTTTAAGAACATTATATATTTTGAAAAACTGAGCTAGCTAGAATTACGATGGAAAGCTAATCTCCCTGGTAGCTAGGGTGAAAATGTGAATTTGGAGGGTTTGCCTCAACATTCTACCTACTCGCGCTAATTTGGAGAAAAAAGAGGTGGCGGTGGACAATATTTGTATTCCTTGTAGCTCGTCTTTTGAGTCAGCACTACATGTGTTTAGTAATTGCCCATTTGCCCAAGCGGTATATTTCTCCTCCCATTTGAATTTGGGTCCAAGGCCTCTGGTGCATTCCTCTGTGTGTGATTGGGTGTCTTCATGCGTTTCTTCCTTTCCTACTAGTCAGCTGGCTTTATTCCTAATACTCATTCATTCGATTTGGCGTGAATTAAACTCTCTGCTATGGGATGCCAAAGTTGAAAATCCAGCTTTGGTAAGTCATTTAACCAAAGGAAGAGGACCGTTAACGATAAAGTTTGGGACTGGAATTGGGGAAGAGAAGGATTTGAGACAACGAAGGAGGTTGGGATAGACCAGAGCCGAAAAGGCATACATGTTTTCACGCTTCAGAAAATTCAACAATGGTGAAGGCTGACGAGTATCGGCCCTGCCAACAACAATGAGTTGCATTAGTTGGAATTGTCGAGGGCTTAGGAACCTCCAGACAATTCATTCTCTGAAGATACTTGTTCTCGCTAAAATTCCCCCTGTGCTTTTCCTATGCGAAATGAAAAGCTCAGTTCAATACATGGAGAGGTTGAAAATACAGCTGCAATATGATTTTCTTTTTACGGTCCCGAGTAGAGGAAGGTTTGGAAGACTCTGTGTGATGTGGAAAAATGAGGTTAGCATGTCCTTACAAACCTATTCTTCTAACCATATCAATTTGGAGGTTGGTGGTTTGAGGGATGCAAGACATTGAAGGATTACTTGTTTTTATGAATATCCTAAGGAAGTGAAAAGACACAAGTCATGGACTTTGCTCGAACAACTCAAGGCAAATGCAAACTTGCCGTGGTGTTGTTTCGGGGATTTTAATGAATTCTAAAAGCCGACAAGCAAGAAGGGGGAGACCTGCGTAATGAGCGACAAATGCAGGGTTTCTTCAATGCAATGAATGTGTGTCAATTGATTGATTTAGGGTATAAAGGAAACAAGTTTACATGGGAAAGAACATGTGGATGAGGCATAAGGGTTAGACTTAATCGAGTTCTTGTCAACTAGGAGTGGATATATTTATTTCCAAATGCTTCGGTTTTTCATCTCAAGCCAAACTCCTCAGATCATATCCCGCTGTTACTTAATTGGGAGGCAAAGTGCAATTAAAGTACAAAAAATCTTTCTGTTATGAGGAAGCTTAGACGGCAAGGGAAGGATGTACAAAGGCTGTAAAATTGGGGTAAGCTGCTGAATTTGAAGGCTTGCCGATGTTTCAAGTTACGGAAAAAATAAAGGCCACTCGAGTTCAATTGATCAATTGGGTGAACCGTGGACATCGAAGACTCCTTGGCAATATTGTAGCAAGTGAGGATAAGTTGAATAGTCTCTTTGGCCAGCCTTTCAACGATACCACCATTGCCCGACGGAAAGAATTATAGAAGCAACTCCACTATTTACTTGCTCAAGAGGAAGCCTTTTGGAGGTAACGATCCCGAGAGAATTGATTACATTTAGGTGATCAAAACAATAAATATTTTCACCAAAAGGCAAATTGAAGGCAACAAAGAAATGGTTTACATGGCCTATTCGACGAAAATGGAGATTGGCATGACGACAAACCCAGGTATGGAGAATATTATTATGAATTATTTTACATTGCACTAGTGACTGTAGTACTTGCTTGGGTCAAGACCAATTTTACGTGTATGTTCACATTGCACCATTACGCTCGCTTTTGATTCATTGTTGGTGTAAGCCAGTATTAGTTGCTCTTACATCTAAAACTCATATGTGATGTGCTTATCGTCGGCTTCATGTTATGTAGTACTAGCTCAAGCATAAATTATTACACACAACCTCTTCATGTACCTACTTTTTGCATAGATTTGTGTCTTTGCATTTTAATGAGCATATTGTGGTGCATTGTTGAGATACTTGTGATTTATCTGTACCCTTAGTATAATTGCTTTTAAACTATTCACTTTGGTTTTCATACTTACAAAGTATGATTTTGAAAACTATATGCGTTTATAATAGGAGGTTACTATTTTGAGAAAAGAAAATGTTTTAGTACATTCTTATTTTTGCCTGGTCACACTTTATGTTTTGCATCCCTCCAGGACTTAGTAAGTGAATTATATGGCTAGCTATTGATCACTGGTGGTTCTGACATCCGCTTCAATTAATACAGGAAATTTATTTCCTGTTAAGTGTAAAATATTCTTCATACCTAGTATGAGAATGTTCTTTTTTCTGTTACACTTTTATCTATTCTATGACATTGTATGCATTTTAATAAGAGTTCATCACACTACGTACTCTCACACTAATTTAATTTAGTTTTAGATTTTGATTATAATTTACTCGTACTTTTTACACATCATATACATGTTTTGATTTCGTTACTTTCCAGGTGTCAGTCATCATGCCTCGATCTTGGTGTCCTTTTTAACAGCCGGAATGAGGTGTTTCACCTTTTGAATAGGTAACGGGTAAGACCTCTAATGCTGTGAGTGGAATTAGTCCTAGGCGCACTAGATAAGACTTAAGAGTAACTAAGAGCCAATTAACATTATCTTTTATCTTTCTCGAAGTGATTTGCTTTAACCTTGTTACCAAACTCAAGTTAAAGTGGGACCAAATATCGCTTTAAGATAAAAGTATTAACGTGTTTCAAAGTCTTTTTATTGTCTAATTCTCAACCCTGTTCTAACAGTGACAATCGAAGCATATGCTGGACTTTGACGGTATCTTTAACTTGATATACTCCAAGGGTTTTGTTTTTGTACTGTTGAAGCACCCAATCTTGTTTGAATATTTCTGCAAGGTCACGAAGTCGCATTCTTAAATGTATTTCTTTCAGTCTTTTTTTTAATGGATGAAATACTCCGATCGTAGTGATTATTCAAATGTCGATCTAACTTCATTTTTTAGTAATATATAAACACCAACATGTGCCCTAGCATACTATTTGTAATGAATGAGTTTCACATTGATGAGATAAGAGATCTTGTATAAGCTTATAAGAGATTGGACTACTTCCTATATTGTTAATTGGTTTTATGGTGAAACCTCAACTTTCTTTATGGTATCAAAGCAGATTGTCTCACGTGTGAAGCCAAACGCGCTCTACGTCATCCCATTGTGTTGGTCATGTGTTAAGCTTAAAATTTCGTTACACGTAAGGGGGCGTGTTGAGAATGAGTCTTACATTAATGGAAAAATGGATCTTGCATGAGTTAATAAAAGGTTTGACTACTTTTCATAAAATGAGTCCTACATTGATGGGAAAATGGACATTGCATTTCTTTATAAGAGGTTGGACTACTCTCTATATTGCCAATTGATTTTATGGTGGAACTGAAATCTCAACTTTTTTTACTATTTGATGGGCAAATCTAACCAATGAAATTGGTGACCCTAGGTCCCTAGCTGTATTTTAAGTTTGATCATCGACCTGAAGAAAACTTGTGGCATAACTTTGGACAATGATTGTCTGCCCTCTCACTTCGATACCCTCCCGTGTCCTTCTGTTTTGTGTGGTCACGGTTAAGCCACGTCAACATTTTATATTGTTTTTTTATAGAGATAATAAGAAAAAAATGAATAGTAATATAAAATATTGACGTGGCTTAACCGTAACCACACAAATAGGAAAGCACGAAAGGGCACCGAAAATGGAAAGATAATCCTTATCCCATAACTTTTGGTCGGAAAGTAGATAGGAAAGCACGAAAGGGCACCGAAAATGGAAGGATAATCCTTATCCCATAACTTTTGGTCGGAAAGTAGATATTAGTCAATAGCTTTAGTAATTGATTGATATGGCACATGTTTCATGGATTATAATTTGTGGATTAATTAATGTTAAAGTTGCTTTTCGTAATTGTAAATATGATAATATTTAGGTACTCATTTGTAAATTGCAATGCAATTATTCACGGATTATAAGTTATGCTAAACACAATCTGCTTGCGTTTTCAATTGTTGCATTCGTTAATCATATTGCCTAATGAATAAAACAACTAAAATGCAAATAAGGAATCATAAAGGAAAAACATCACATTGACCGTCCAAGTTTTTGTTTTATTGTACTACAACTAGCTAGTTTTTGGTCTGCGTTTAGGCATGTCCACTGTTGAGATGGTAAGGAGGAATTGTTCCAACTTTAAGAACCGGACTGTTCTCAAAGAATTGGTAGGCCGGAGCTCAAATCCACTACTCAATAGCGTACCACATGACTATGTCTTTGTTTTCATTCTCTCTATTCATGCACACTGACAGCGATTAAAAAAATTCATTACAAATTTCTATATCCGCTTGTCGACGTAATAATGTTAGAATGATCACGTTTGTTTAAGCACATAAGTTGACAAAATCATGGATCAAATACAAATATACAATTTACTCGCTACCTTACACATAATATTGGTCAGCCAAATTAATATGATTAACTATGGTGTTCCCTAAAAACAAAAATATCTTGATCCCTTCCACAATGTATATGGTCTTTTTTAAATGATTTGAAATATTCAAAAGCATTTTTGACAACTTTTGGAAGAAAAGGTAGAATTGTTAAAGGTTATCATCTGCAAGGTTTTTATTATTTCACGAAGCTCTTTTAAGTTCTTGAGGAAGCATTTCTAAATATTTTTCCAGAAAGTACTTGAAATTTACCTTCTAAATATTTGACATGAAGCGTTTTCGTTGTAAGTGTTTGTGACCAAATTACGTATCTTTCTAAAAATAATTTCAAGCAAGCCCAAAATACCATACCTGAGGGTCCAAACTGCTTGTACTTGGTAAAAGCACCACGAATTTGTGGGTACTAACAAAAGGGATCCTGCAATTGACCGTGGAATCAAACGATAGCCAGTTGGATTCCTATGTTTGGTCCCTTTATTAGGATTTAAATTTTGAAATAATAGAAGTTTAATCTCGTTTTTTTTTTTTTTTTTTTTGGGCTCATCAATCAACTTGAGGACACAGGATGCCCAAAGCGTTTAAAAAAACACCGTTTACATACTTAGTTACAGTAATTAACATCTTTATAGGGTGGCAAGTGGTGAATTATTAGTGGATAAAGATTTCATTTTCAACTTATTACATTCCAAGTTCAAATCTTTTTCTCCTCTTAATTAGGTTAAACGTAGCAATATCATTGCCAACGAAAGTTAGTTGAGTTACTAAAGATTGTTGTTCTCTTCACTAGGAAAAGGTCTAGGTTCGAGTCCTGTGTTGATGATCCATTTTGGTGGGCAATTTGTAGAACTCCTCTATAAATCCTCAAAGAAATTTGCAGTATGCTCTGGCACTGGGTTGAGGTAGCATCCCTTCCCCTCAGATTTTTGCAAAATTTTTATTTGAATCCAAATAACCTCTTTTTACACTCAACTTACTTTAAATGTGAAATGTCTTTATTACCCTATTACATAATTACCATCAAGTACAGGATAAAATTACAAAAAAAATAACCGTTACGTAATTTTTCTCCCACGTTCTGTTCTGGCAAAAACCCTAAGACAATTTCATATAGAAAACAAGCTCTTTTTTACAGATAGATGGTAATTTTGAAATTTTGAATCCACCAATTAAAGTATAAATCTATTTATGCAAGAGTTGAATTATTGATTTATATGACATATACCAGCGTTATAACTGTTAGTTGTATAAGTTTACCAAGTCTTGTCTCGTTCTTTTTGGACACCATTAGCAAGTCTTCTACTTCTTAATTACATAACACGATCGTAACATCGTGCTTTATTTTCATTGGATTACATATCCAACTGCTACTACCTAATGAGAGTTGAAGATTCTAATAGTTAGATAATAGACAATATTGATTAATTATGTTTTTCATGTATGCATTTGTCTGATATCATATTGATAATATTGGTCTTTGCTCTGCAATCTAAATTCTAATTAGCCAAACCAACAACAGCTACATACTTTGTGTCATTGTTTTCGCATGCCAGCTCTTTTCATTTGATTTTGATCTTTTATATTTTAAATAGGTGTAAAAATAAATTTAACATTTTTGAATTGGATTTGTAAGAGTGGTTAGGTAGTAAATTTGGATTTATATAGATATTAACAAATTAATTAAAAATAATATTGGTGTAAAGAGTGGAATTAGATCCTATCTGGATCCACTTTATAGGGATCTTAAGGATCATTACATCTTAATCATTCATCGTGTATCATGCGGTTAGAAATCATTTGACTTTTTTTATTTAAAATTAAACACAAATAGTATCTGACGAAAACTGACCGTACAATGTACGATAACCGTAAAGAGTAAGCTAGAGGTAGAAAGAGGTTAAATGAGTTGAAATAAAAATTCCTAAATTTTTGAATAAATAAATAAAAAAGTAGCATAATAAATCGTTGAAATTAAAATATTAAAAATCATATATATTCATTCCTCACTTTAATATCCAATCTGATTGTGAGTGACCACTAGAAAATTTTCCGAATGAGGGTCAGCCTAGTTATGGACTTCCTTGGTTACATGTATCGTCTTTGAAATAAACGGATCTGCTTTGATATAAAATCTTGTTGTCAGGATGTTCATTTACAAGAAGAGCCCATGTTGTAGTTGTTACAAATACAACTTTCAGAATCTAAAAACAGCTCTCTCGTTACTTCAACCGAGTGTGCTTAATTTTTTAAGCCTAGTTCCTCCATCAAACACCGTCTTCATGTTACAGCCGCCTCCAACTTCATACGAACAACCATTAATCTACAGGCGGATAGAAAATAAAACTTCGAAACCGGAGTAAGTGGGTAACTGTCCGTGACTGTTAAAACGTATCAAATTTCCAAAACAATTAGCAAACGATGTAAATGGCCTTACCATGATTTGAAACTAAGTGCCTCGTCGATACTCCAATTGCTTTGTATTCTCTAGTAATACCTGTCATTCAAACAGAGGCCACATGACAAGGCAGAACTTATCACTGGACGGGCGGAAACTAAAGCAAGAAGGTGCTTACTTCTCGAATATATGTTGCAACTGCCTTGCAGCCTTCAATTGCAAGTTGCATTACATTTCAAAAATATCCAATGGTAATTTAGCATCCATCTGCATCAAAGATCATCATGAATAAGTGGTTTACAAAAGGTGCTTGAGAAGACACTGTAGATGCCAACTAACACTATAATTGTAACTTAAGCTTGTGAGAATATATTGCGAAACACATACGACAGATTACCTGAAGAAGAGTAACTTTGTCCAACTTCGGCATAATACCTAAAGTGACATCAGCACCTCCAGCACTATCTTCTACATAGTTTAAATCTGACAAGCCAGCGACAATAAGCTCACGTGAGAATTACAATATCATACTAGTACAATGGCATTATAGGAACTGCACAAGCATAAAGTAACGTAAAAATTTACCAAGTAGAGGTGTGCTATTAAGGTAACCGGCACTACAAGAAGTAACAAGATCACGCATTGGAATTCCAGCATCTGAAAGGGCCACGGTTGCAGCATTGATACATGCTGATCTAGTTCCTGCCAAAAATAAAATAAAAATCAAACACACGGATAGATCTTTCAATTCTTTAAGTAAAACAGTGAAGTAACCTGTTGAAATCCGGTAGTATTTGCAAAATAGTTAAACATTATAACCAAAACACAGATAACAGGGGCAACCATGGTACTTTGTGAACACTATCGATCATATATTCTATTTAAATAAGATGCAACAAAAGCAATAACTATTAACGAACTGCCTGCAGCGCAGTTTGACCCTCAAACATGACTTACCTCAATAGTAGTTAAAAAACACAAACTAACAACTTTAAATTCAAATACAAGTGGTTCATAGTACCCGTACATGAAATGAATAGAGGAGGCTTTGGATTTTCAGAAAATAAGCCTGGATCTACAAATATATTGAATGAAACAGGACCAAATATGCACATTGCACACACACATAGAAGGAAACAGGGCAGCATTGATTTATTACATAATCTGAAAGTACATTATCATATAGGACCTATGAATTTAACGAGGCACCGGGATTTACCTCCATCTGCTTGGAGAACTTGCACAAAAATATCAATCTGCAACAAACGGATACAAGGCTCAATAAAGAACAAACTAGACATTCATGGAAGAAAAGTTCCCAAGATGCATCAGTGGAACCTGAGTCCGAGGCATTAAATGTGTCATAATGCATGCTTCCATGGTTTGCCGAATAACAAGAGAAATCTCTGTGGATCGTCTGAGAGCATAAAAATGTACATTTTAGTTATATAGTTTAATTTAGTTATGGATACAACACTCTGATGTTAAATTGTAAATTGAAGATGATCCAACATGTATGTATGAAAATGAAAGAGAATAGAATATATCACCTATCACCCTTTGGTTTCCTCATGCGATCTCCGGTACTAAAATTTGCCATGGTGTACTCACACCGCACCTAAACTTATTAACAATGGCTAACGACATTACATTTACGAATATAATACATGCCTGTTCCGTTTATCCTATTCACCACAACAAAGATAAATTTAATACACAGAGAATTAGATGAACTATTACCAGTGCCTTGTCATTCATCTGCTGGCTCCTATTTTGGACCTAGAAAACAAAAGTATATTAACAGCTTAAATGAATTTAAATTGAAAATATGACGGGACATTTTAAATAATAATGAGTACCACGCACAAGTTCATTAAAATTTTAGCTCAAAATTATAGAATGAAGAAAAAAGAATTAGCTAACCTCTCGAGGGCCATACACTGCAGCAATGACCTTGGTGTTTCCCATCTCAAACACGGCAGAACTGAAATTTGATAGGAAAGATCAACTTTAAAAAAAAAAATTACAAAGATTAGAAAAGAAGAATCAAGATTTTAGTAATTACAACCCATCGGCTTTTCCCACAACACCAATCTCTCCTCGAATTTGTCTCATCTGGGATCACAGAAAAAAAATATATTTTATAAAAATAATTGAAACTTTATACTGGTGATGATTCAACACAATGGAAAATTGAGAGATGGAAAAATACTTCCATGGGCCGCCGACCATCTAAGCGAAGACCTTCTGGGCTCACGTACTCCATCTGTTAGAACTTCATAATAACCAACTTAGGAAATGCCATAGATAACAAGAAACAAATGGTAGCTAAAGCAATCACTGTCTAAAATTTAAACGTCATAACAACCAAACTGCAAAGTTCCATAATTATTCCATAATAGCTTTGCTTCAGCAACAAAATGGCTATTCTATATCATTGTTCATGCGTACACTTCACTAACCAAACGGAAGTAAATTTAAAAAATATAAATAAATAAAAAACACTTCACTAACCAAAAGGAAGTAATTCAAATAAAGAACGTTAACTCATGGAGAAGAAGCTAAGTTTGTTTTCACCGACCAATCAACACCATCAACAACTATTACACTTGTACGAAAGGATCATCTTTTATCTTTGTTTTAATCACGAAAACCCATTACAGCATAATAAACCTTCCTCCATGAAGATTACAATGAACAGGTACGGTGGAATAACCAAATCATTGGAACCCACTTCCTAATGACTCTCAAATGCAGAATATATCCCACAATAATGTTAATCTGTTACGGGAATTTCCATTCGAGGCTTATCTCCATTGTCTCAAGCCTGTGACACATACTTGCCTACCAACCTTCAATGCAAATATTAAAAATTTAAAAATCCAGATAAAATCAATCAATAACCTTCACTTCCGGTATAGTTGATCTAAACCCTACTCAAAACCCACAACTCCGATTCCTCTGAACTTAACTCAACATTTTACTACGTCGGCCTCAAAGACATACACAAATACCCCAAAACCCCTAAAGAAAAATCAACAGATGAAACAAGGTTTTAGACTTCCTTAAAAAATTAAAGCTAGAAATTAGTATAATTTACAAAAAAAATTAAGCGAGTTTAGGCAGACAGTAAAGAGGGTAAGAGAAACTGCAATGGGTTTCAGAAAAAAAAAAAAAGAGCGATTTTCCATTAAAAAAAGGAGAAATTTCTCAATATTATAAGCTTAGTTAAATCCCAAGTAGTAAAATAAAAATAGAAAAAGAAATTAAAGGAAGAAGGAGTACCTGGGTGAGAAGAAGAAGCGCAAGTGCAGATTTTACAAGGAGAAGAGAAGTTGAGATTCAGAATACAGTAGAGGCTTTAGAGAATGCCGCCTGGGGTTTTACAGGGGTGGAAGCTTGAGCTGCAACCTGGGCCTATTGGGCTCTGTTTTATTCGGGTCAAACAATGTTTTAAGCTCTATTTAAGCTCTATTTAAGCTGTTAGAATCACCAATATGAATGAAAGCATTAACATTTTCAATCCTGAAGATTCGGGATTATGTGATTGGCACAGTTTATCGTATACCGTGCATTCAGTTTTCGTTAGGTACTATTTATATTTAATTTTAAATTTTAAATTTTAAAATGATTTCTAACTGTACAATGTATGATAGACGATTCATACCACGGGATCCCTAGGAAAAGGATCCGGCGAGGAACCCCTTTTCCAACATAAACGTACATGAATCTGGTCTAGAGGTGATTTTTTGAAGGATTGGATTGAAAATGATGTTTCTAATTTTGATTTTAAAATTTAGAAATCAAATCAAATTGGATCACAATTTTCAAATTATAAACTTTAAATTTGAGTAATTTCGAAAATTTTGGAACGTAATTATGAAATTCTATATATTTTATAGATTTTTTTAATATTCTTAAACTTTTTCATACATAAAGTTTATTGTTCTTTCATAATATATATTATAAACTCATGTATACATTCAATTAATTTTGAGCATTGATATTCCCACCCCTATGTCTTATTTCCCTCCCCACCATTTAATGAAATGTTACTAAGGAAAACTGATGAAAATTGCTTGAAAACTTTGAGTTTTAATCAAAATGACAAAAATGGGTTGTAAGTGAATAGTATTAGGAGTGACTTTTTAGAGTAAAAATGTTCTTAACATTAAAAGTAAACAGTACCGGAAGTGTTTCGTTAAGACTTCCATATTAATATTCTTAAACTCTTATTTAATTAAGTACTAAAAATTTTGAAAAAAAAACAATAATTTAAAATAATAAATAAATAATGGTGCGTTGGGTGTGGTACCTTCGGTGGAGAGAGGCCAGGAAAGATTTGGGCTAGAATTGACGAAAAGGTTGGAGAAAGGAATGGGTGTGTGCTAGACAAGGGCGAGAAACTTGAATGGAGGCAAAAGAGACTTGAGGGTGAGATATGGGGCTTTGACAGAAAAGGAGGAAGAAGAGTGATTTGGAAAAACGGGTCTTTGTGGGGCGGCGATAGGTCTAAGTACTAGGGTTTATCGGGAATATTCTGCCATAGATATGGAACTCAGTGAAAATAGAGGGTGGGGATCTGGAGAGAGATTGAGGTGGCAGATTTGGGATTAGTAGGAAAAGATATTATGAAATGGATGCCATGATTTGAAGGACACGCGTGGTTTGAAGAATATGATGAATGTAAAGGTCTTAGGTCTTGCATTTTCTTTCATCTTTTTTGTTTTTATATATTTATTTATAAATATTATTCAAAGATGTATTAGAGTTATTTAAAAAATATATATTACGGTTATTTTGGAAATAACGGTGTGTGGGAAAATAATATTTTACTTTTTTATTTTTTTTATAGGAAGTGAGATTATCATGTGGATGAAAAAATAAGACACTGAAGTGATGGGTCTAATAACACTCTTAATTTTGTGGTATATTAAAAATAAGAGAAATTTTATTTGGACAAGTTTTCCTCTCTCTAAACCCAACTTTAATATTTTGTTACCTAAACTCTTTAGTTTACCCTCATAAATTATAAACGTAAATAAACTGGAAAAAGAAGAGCTCATCATACCCATTTCCCGACTGTTCTCTCGCCTTCCGCTGGCTCCTCCTGTATTTGTTGGGTCTGTCTTCCTACCGACTATTTGTTTCCTGATATTCTCAGTGTGTTCCCCCCACCTCTCCCACACCCACCAATTCTTTGCGGTGGATACTCCACCAAACGTCCAGTGAATCTTTCCTTCTTCTCTTGCGCGTGATAGAGCCTTGCTGTTAAGAGGCAAAACTAAGTTGCATCGTCGACTCCATAAGCGACTTGTTGCAGAAGTCCAAAATGGAGTCAAATGGATTTTGTGTTGGGTCGGGTTGTTGAAGGCGATGTGGTTGATTTAGCAATCCCGCCTAACTTCCATATGCAGGAGAAAGAAGAGGGAGGTCTGAAGTGGTGGTTGAGTGGTGGTGCTGCATGTGGGTGCTATCTCGGTTGAATGGGTGTAGAAAGATATCTAATTTTCATTTTCTTATTTTATTTAGTATAAGGGGTAATATAGAAATTACAGAGAGTTTTTTTTTTTTAGCTAGGTGAAGAAAGAGTATTTTTGGGTCTAAAAAAAATTACCCTAAAAATAATAAACAAATATATCTAAAATTAACAATAAAATACTGGAAAATACATAAATTTGAGTAAGTAACTATAAAAAAAATCATCTTGCTCTTCTTGGTTCTCCTAAAATATTTGGTAGCGTAGGTTCCTTCATCTTGCTCTTCTTGGTTTTCCTAAAAGGATAATTCCTAAGTTTATATACTCACTGCGACGTTTGACTTGCTCTTCTCTTCCATTCCCATTTGGAAGAGTTATAGGGTATATATTCTACTTCTAATTAATTAACCTAATGATGACAGACACATATAACTATGAATGCATTAGGAAGTTGCGTAGATTTATCAATAACACGAGGTGGCTTTGTAGATTTATGATTTGCATGGGAAAGAGACCCATCTAGCTTTATGGTTCCCAAATTTCTCTCCTATCTTCATCTAGCTACGAATCTGATGAGTAGTAGAAACATACTTCTAAATCAATTCCCAGACTTTACAACTCCCTAAAGAACAAGTTCTTCAAAAACCCCAACCTCATTTTAAGCAATAACAAACGAATCAATATTAGATTTTTGAAATTACTAAACGATACCTGGTTTAACTCTGAATTGTTAGAAAAATGTAGTCATGCGTATCGAACCGTTCCTGAGATCTTCATTGATTAAAAAAAAAAAATCATAAATATTTCACAAAGTTCATCTTTCTTGTTTTATATTTCTCCTCAATGAAATGATCAAATGCAATAGTTGAAATTATTACACTATATTTTTTATATTTGAGTTCAAATCTGGTGGTACATGGGTTTGAGTTTCTTATTTTCTCCTCATGCACTTGATTATAAATCATGCACTTGATTATAAATTTTAAATTTTACATGTGACTCAAATGTTAAATTTTTTATGTTGGAATGAAGTTTTTCTCTTTGCATGACATTCACCTTTACGCTCAAATAATTTTTGGAAATTTTAAATATAACTCTAATTACTTAAAAAAAACAGATATATAACATTTAGTTTAACTCAAAAGTTATATATGAGTTTTAACTTTCCAATGCAAATTTGATCCAATCGTCAACATTTAAGTTCAAACTTGACTAGAAACGAAGAAGATACACATAATATAACAAAGCAAAGTCATGACATGAATCATTATGGGAAATGAAGATGAGACATCATTTTATGTGCAGCAAGGCAAGCAAATAAGAAATCTATAAAATCATGTCATATGATTTGTTGGGTAACAAAGCTTAGGCCAGTGCAATGATTTTTACAGGTCTTGAAGAGGGAGAAGGAAGCAAGTAAAAGATTAGGGGAACACAATATTATCCCGGGGACCTCAGAGTTGGAGCTTGAGGCCTTTGAGGTCATCATAACCTTTCTAAAACAAGAGTTTGGCCGAATCCATCATCACCCCCAAACCAAAACACACTGCAAGTAACAAGAATGATTTCCTTAGTATTCATAGCTGGCCTGCATCAAATAGAACGCCACCACTTCTCAATATAGAGCCTCTCTCCTATGCTCTCCTCCACCATAGTAATTATGTGGGCACATAAGTTTTTATCTTGTTCTTCTTTTTCTTTTGTTACTTTTTATTTGGTCTTTCACACATCTTCTTTTGTTACTTTTTATTTGGTCTTTCACACATCATTCTATTGCCAACCTTACGACATTGGTGGACTCTCTGGGACCCCCTTAACTAAGAGTTCAAATCGTTTGCACTTAAAACTCTGTGTAACCTTTCAGTGACCGATTTAACTATTAAAATAAAGTTTAAATGAATGGTCAAGAGTCAACAATGAAATAGGTTGCAGAAAGATCACAAAGAATTTTGAGTACAAAAGATTTGATCTTGTTAATGATACCCACAAATTGTTGCATAAGATTGAATAGTTTGTTGACATGCTATAGCAAAACAAAGCATATGACATTTGGATCAGAGTGATTTTGTGTGTAGATGTGACGTACCATTTTCACTAAGCTTGGAAATCTCAAATAAACTACTTGCAACAAGAAGAAGGATTATCAAAATAATTACTTCCTCATTCTATAACAAGACTGTAGTTTTGGCAAACTATTACCACAATTTTTTTTTCTTTTGTAAACATGTCGTAGCTCATATTGCCATGGTCTTACAAACAACTCTTAAAATAATATAACCCAATAAATAATTTCCAGATAACTTACAGACATCTTCTAATATTCAAATAACATGTCAAAAAGTAAAGGGTAATGCTAGGTAAGCCAAAATTTTAAACTCACAAATCAAATGATGTGTCACCAGTAGGAAATGAGTAATGTTAGGAAGACTAAATTTATAGACTAAGTTTTGTAAACTAAATGACATGGAAGTTGATGATTGGATTATTACTTAAACGTTGATAAACATGCTCATTTCTTATTGGTGACACATCATTTAGTTTGTAATTTTAGTCTATAAGTTTAGTTTCCATAGCATTACTTATAGGAAATAAGTACGTTAATCAACACTTAAGTAATAATCCAATCATCAACAGCCACATCATTTGGTTTACAAAATTTGATTTAAAAATTAGGTCTCCCTAACATTATCCAAAGTAAAAACTAAATAGCAAGTTGGTAGGTAGCTAGGGCCAAAACTTCTTCCATTCAAATTTTAGGTTTTTATCACAAATGGTCCCTGAATTTAACACACACCATCAAGATGGTCCCTAAAATTGAAAGTGGAACAATGTAGTCCCTAAAAATAGGTGTTACAAATCAATGTGGTCATTCCCTCACAATTTTGTCAAAAATTCTATTATGTTTTGATGTGGCACATAAGTGGGCCCATAAGTCTTTTTTTAAAAAAAATATCACAAATGACCCCTGAAATTGACTCACACTATGAAGATGGTCCTTGAGATTGAAAATCGATCAATGTCGATCTAGAAATAGGTGTCTCGAATCAATGTGGTCTTTCTATCATAGCTTTGTCAAAAAAAATTGTTATGTGCTGATGCAGTACATAAATGGAATCCACAAGTCTAATTAAATTAGAAATAGGTTTAATAGTTTAATAATTAATTTAAAAAATTGTCAATCCAAAAACTCAAGCCCGTAATCACCTCCGATCCCATCCCACACTCTTCTACCTCCATCTATGGTAGCCTTCAGTAGTATCTTCTCTAAAGAAAATAAAAATAAAAAAATTCTTAGGACATCCATCTTAATGACCTTCAACACTCTTCACCAAATTTGACCAGGATCGAGACCACATTTAGTGACTACTTGGATTGGCGACGACTTCTATGAAATTACCGTAACATTTTGACGATCGACATCCTCATAACCTTAATCTTGGAGAGCTTACTGGGCGCTTCCCCAGTGGTCTTAGTGATGCGGAGAACGGCGAGCTCTACATTGACATAATTCCATTGTGCAAAAAGGTATTTTGGCAACTTTTTTTAATTGATCATTAAATTATTAATCTCACATGAGCACATAATAAAATTTTGACAGAATTGTGATGGAAAGACCATATTGATTTATGACACTTATTTTTAAGGACTACATTGATCGATTTTCAGTTTCAATGACCATCTGTGATAAAAACTCGTAAATTTTATGGGATTCATTTATGTGCCACACCAGCATATAATATATTTTTTTTACAGAATTATGACATAAGAACAACATTAATTTGAAAACCTATTTTCAGGAACTACAATTTTCAATTTCAAGGATCATCTTAATGATGTATGTCAAATTCAAGGACCATTTGTGATAAAAACTCTATAATCTTTTATTTCTTACGTATATGTTTTACGAAGGGTATGGAGTTGAACTTTTAACGCTTCCTGTTTGGGGGAGAGAATTGATGCGTAAATGGTGAGGATTATGATGAGTGCGCCTGCCATAGCACGCCCTCCAAATCTTTTGAAGCAAAGAGAATGTTATGATGGTTTC